ATATAAATATTCCTAATTATGTACACTGCTCCTCGTTTGATGCTCATGGCTAACAGATGACACATTGGTCAATATGCAAATACTTACAAGTGTACAACAAATATACACATATTGACCAATCATATCAAATCTTATTAAAAGCCCACATGACATTGATCCAGACCAAGGATGTAATAATACCAGGCCTGGTCGGAAAACCAAGGAATAGTTAGGAAAAAGTTTGACGAAGAAAAAAACGTATACAGACCAGACTCCATTTGTCTTTTGAAAGCACTGCTAGTTAGAACACAGAATGATGCAAGACAAGAAAATACTAGAAGTGCGCACAAAAATAGCTTAAAAATGCTAAAAAGACAGGGAAAAACTTCAATGCTACAGAATGACCACAGAGGCCATGAAAACAGACGGGGCCTTTTATGAGTCAATATTACAGCGTTTTACACCATCCACATTGCTCACCACGTGATGGTCTCCCCCCTAATTTGATAGGTTCTCCTCATCTCCCTCCATGTAGATCTCCCTCAGCTCTGCACCATCAATAACTTCAACAGCACAAAAGCAGCAAAATTAGGTCCGCTACTTTCTTCTGTCATGACTAATGAGCTCTCCCTTCATTTATGTATTAGTCTCGCTCTGCTGTGGCCGTACCCCAGGGAACGAGCCACTGCTGTGCCTTCCAGTGAACAGGTAAGCCCAAACAGATGACACGCCAACATAATGGAAATAGAAACAATAGGGCTTTATCTGACTTTGTTTCAGCCACATGGAAAGTGTTTTGCTATCTTGAAAGCAGATGCATGTATTTACCCCTTTACATACAGAACAGAAAACAACAGACTCCCGGCCGCAGCCTCTGCTAATTTCTTCATTAATCCAATGCTAACACTGTAGCACACTCCATACATTTTTCTGTAGCGCCCCCTTTATTTGGTGCGCTCCATACGTTTTTCTGTAGCGCCCCCTTTTTTTTGGTGGGTAGGACCTTTGTCGACACATTCAAAGCTATTGCTTAAAACACTGCTGTTTGCGTGTACTTGTCGTGTGCGCATGGGTTTTTTTTTTTTCCCATAGGCCCCGGCAGTAGCCCCAAAACAAAACCACACATATCAGGGGGTTAGGTTGATCAGACCTAAATCTAAATTGACCATAGGTGTCAGTGTGAGAGTTGTTTATCTCTATATGTTGGTCCGCAATAGACGGGCGAACTGATAGGGTGTACCCTGCACTCACATGTTGAACGCTGGGATTGGCTGCAGCCTGCCCTGCCTGTGAGCCTGCAAATGAATAAACTGTAGATAATGGATGGATGGGTAATCCTACATGACTGTTATTCTTATTGAAAAGAGTTTGAAAAAAAAAAGTGGTACATAAGCTTTATTCTCCTCTTCAGGGACACACCCCCCACTTTGAAAACCACTTCTGTACAAAACTGTAATCGTCTACAATCAACTGCTAGAATAACATAACGGAATATTCTAGTGGCCAGTGACACATCATAAGAACTAATTTTTTCAGGCTAACCTGGAAGGTCGGCTCAATATAAGGTGTGTTTTTTTTTTTTGTTTTTTGTTTTGTCTTATACGATTATTTAATGAAAGTATTATCAGTCAGACCACAGTGTTCAGGTTACGTCATGACGTAGAACAGTTCCTTTTTACCCCTGCTTAGGTTTTCCAACCATAATGTTTTAAACAGGTTCACACTTAAGTTTATAAGAAGCTACTGGAGGCAGTGACGGTGCAGCAGCCACAGGTGGAGCGTGCTGTTCACAGTCTGATGTCAGGATAAGTGTGTGTGACTAAATGTTGAGTGAACACCGTGTCAAACGTTGGTTTATTTAAACTCCTACACTGCAGCAGTTTGCCACTGTTGAGAATGACGGCGAAGAAGACCGCAGTGGTCCACTGGGCATGCTCTTCATGACAGCCAATCAGTGTGAGGTTTCAACTAGACCTGGAGGAATTAACATGTTAATCACATTAATTAGTTTAGTGTGAAGATTTACTGGATTTCGATCATAAAGCAGAGGCTGAATGACAGGAAACGTGTTGTTATTTACACACTCTGCAGGACAGAGTTTTTGTTTCACAGAGTGGTTTGAGTGTGAAATACCATCTCAACGCCTGGAATGGCATTTATGGAGGCTTCAACTTCAGATCGGACGCCTGACCTTCATCAGAACAGCCTCACTGAACGCTGAAGGGATTCTGAGTGAGAGTCGCCAAGAAAACTTCTGGCATGTTCTACAAGCTACCATCAAGATGCACAAGATGTCACGACTAAAATCCACCAACTCGCACTATATAAACTCACACACACATCAATCTGCTGTTACTTCTTTCTGTTCCATCGAATGCACGAAAAAAATCAAGTTATTTGTCATATTTAGGAATGTTGAATTTATCTGGAGTTTTATAGTTAATGTCTATGACAAAATATTTTTTGGTATTTATGATTGTTCTAGTACAGGACCTACCTAAGTACTGTACTATGGACTTCAGCACTAAGAGAGAGCTCTGCTAAACACTTCTTCTTCAGTAACGGTCACTGTTTTAGGGCCTAAGATGGAAACCTAACCACAGGTCTCCAACATTTCAGAGGCCAGTGCATCAGATCCTTAGGTCGTTAACTAGAACCTGCATTTCACCAGTCGTGGCCTCGTCAGTGCAGCCTAGCTGAAACACAATACCGTTTATTAGAAAACCAAACAAAACGTCTGATGTAAGATTCACTAATTCACTAAATATTAAATCACCGCACTCCATTCTCCTCATTTATTTCCGACTGCAGCCAAGTGCCACAGTTATGAAAGGGTTATGAAAATATTTGGGTTGAGCATTTGGATCATCATCGCCGCCGCTGTCGACGGGAGCACGACTGACTTTCCTATTATTAAACGTTTTGCAGCCAGGAATCTAAAAATACGTGTTTGTTGCACACAACGATGAGATCATACGATCCTAGGGAGACAGGAAAAAGAGAGGACGGGAGAGACGAGAGGGGGAGAGAATTATTCTGTGATTATGGGTTCTTGTCAGATGAAAGGAAAGGTTATTTGTCAGCAACTTGTCAAAATCGGCCACAAAATAGGAATCATCGCTGCGACTGGCCAGACCAGAGCAGACCAGACCAGACCAGGCCTCAGAGCTTACATCACCCACCTCACCCCCCCAGCCCCAAATTACATTATTATTGAATGACTAAACTGCCATATGTCATCAGTTAATTACATCGTACAGTTAATAAACATTAGGAAATGAATCTCCTCCTCATGACATCTCATGTGGACAAGTACTTAATGCTGGGAGAAATTAGTTTAACAGGAGTTACACTGGAAAAAGTGACAACTGCTGCCCATCGGTGGTGCACCAGTTCGTCGAGTACACACTGTATCTAAGAAGAAACATGAACGAACATATAGCACAACGGTCCCGAGCTTTGATAACTACTAAACAAGTACTAAATCCATTACCAGTACTTGACTGGACAGTGTGGACAGAAGAATACCCAGACTACCTTGTGTTGTTGTTGTTGTTGTACACAGATCAATTAAAAGTAGCAGACCTCTGAACCCAGATAAAGTGCAAAGTACGAGGGAGCTTTATATGACTTCCCTGCGGCACCTGGACCACTGCTGCAGATAAAGTGATTTTTATGGCCGCAACATAATATCAGTGTGGATGGAACACCAAGTTTACTGGCATTCACTTCCACTGACACATACAGAGAGTGAGGCTTCCTCGCCTTATGTAACACCACTGACACTGACACTGACACTGACAGTCAGACCAGTCAGTGTTGTTTCCTTAATGTCACAGTGTGTTTTTAGAGTCCAGGTGTGTTTCTGACAAACTCCAGTTCTTACTGTGTTTTTCTGTCTGTCTCGTCCAAAGTACAGAAAGGACAGATGATTGTGGTACTTTTTTAACTACTTCTAGATGAACTTTCACTTATCTTTAGATCATTTTTAGCTGTTTTGGATAAGTGTCCACAAATGTGTCCCTGGGCTAAAATGTTTGTTTAGGACGGTCATCACATGACAACAAAACAGTGTCACTAATGACTTTTAAATAAAAGGTGCTTTATGTTATTACTTTTCCACAGCATATAATTGTTTACTAAATTAAGCCAATGCTGTGTTTCCAGATTATAATCCAGACAGTTTGGTTAGTGATTGATATTATTTATATAATAACAAGAAAAGGAGAAGAACAGAACTAGAAGTTATGTATAAAAATAATAATGAAAAAATTGCATGTATGTATTATTTGTTATTACTACTATTATGATTATTCATATTATTATTTACAAAACCCTTTGTGTACATGATCTACTGTTCTCACAATGAGAGGAAACCATGCTCTGGCACGACCAAAGGGTGGCAGTGTTGAGTTTATTAATGGTGCGCATTGACAGGATGGAGCTGTGGAGTCCACCTGTCATGTGTTTGAACGGTGGTGTTTTTCTAATGTAACCTCTCGTCATCAGCATTAACGTTACTAACCGACCACATGTTTTAACTAACAATACTAATAATACTAATAATAATAAGTTTATTAAATACGAAGGCTGTGTTTTTACAGCAGGTACGATCCAATATGTTACAGCAGTGCTTTTCCTTTTTCTTTTCTTCAAAGTATATAAGTGTATGTTTCACTTTTAAATGTATAAAATTGTAAAAGTAACGTTTCTGTGGGCATGAAACAATCGGGGAGTTTACCAGAATCTAGTTCATTTGACGTGTGATTTACATTTGAATTAGTGCGATAAAAATGTATTTTTTGTGAAATAAAGAAATAAATTATTCCGAAAAACCATAATATTATTACGTTTGCTTTCGTGATTCTTTCCTTCTTTTTTTTAAAAAAAAAAAAAAGCTCCGGTGGAGAAGTGTAATAAAATATTCACTACAATCATAATCACGAGGAAAATCACGGATCTGTTACTAAATACGAAGCCTACGTGAGGCAGGGCTCGGCGGTGTGAAGCTGACAGTCAGCTGACAGCCTCAAACACTTCAGAAAAGTTTGGTTAACTAATATGTTAATTAGCTGTGGCGGAGTGAAAGCCGATTGGCTCTCGGTCCGAGTCAATTTCCCATTTGCAGCCTGACGTCAGGGCAGCTACAATGCTCTTAAACTCATCTGCTGTGTGTGTGATCCCTCTAAAAATCGGCCCCGGCAGTCAGCGGCTTGAACAGGCTGCGCTCCCGTCGCTCTACCCGGCTCTTCGTCCCTCTCTCCGCTTTGCGCAATGAGTCCGCGAGGAAACGCCGCAAAGTGTTAAATGTTCGCAGTCCAACCGCGACCTGCACATGCTGAGAACGGACGACTCCGCTACCGGTGCGCGCCGCACGGCCGTGTGTGTGCAATAGACTCTGCAAAGACAAACTCCTGTGCGCTCTGACGCCTGCAGGTCCGCGGTTGCAAACGGGGACATTGAGGAAGAGAGAGAAAGAGAGAGAGAGAGAGCGAGAGACACTGCGAGCGAGCGAGAGAGAGAGAGTCGAAGAGAGAGAAAGAGAGAGAGAGAGACAAAAAAAAAATCAAATTTTATTTTCTCCACTCTTGAGACAAACGCTCAGAAATCAAACTGGCTCACGTTTTCCCCAACCAGCCCAGTTTGACAGCTGCTCTTCACCCCGTTTGGAGGACTGTCAGCAGCAAGAGGATGGCATCAGAGCTGGCAATGAACAACTCCGACCTGCCCACCAGTCCCCTGGCCATGGAATATGTTAATGACTTCGATCTGATGAAGTTTGAAGTGAAAAAGGAGCCGGTGGAGCCCGAACGCAACATCAGCCAGTGCAGTCGCCTTATCGCCGGGGGATCCTTGTCTTCCACTCCGATGAGCACGCCTTGCAGCTCGGTGCCCCCTTCCCCAAGCTTCTCTGCGCCCAGTCCGGGCTCGGGGAGCGAACAGAAGACACACATAGAGGATTTCTACTGGATGTCCGGTTACCAACAGCAGTTGAATCCAGAGGCGCTGGGCTTCAGCCCCGAAGACGCGGTTGAGGCGCTGATCAACAGCAGTCACCAGCTCCAGTCCTTCGATGGCTACGCCAGGAGCCAGCAGTTCGCTGGCGCAGCGGGAGCGGGAGGCGCCATGGCCGGGGAAGAGATGGGCTCCGCCGCGGCGGTCGTGTCGGCGGTCATCGCTGCTGCAGCGGCTCAGAACGGAGCGCCGCACCACCACCATCACCACCACCACCACAGCTCCAACGGCGGCCACCACCAGGCGCAGGGCGTCCAGAGCAACGGCACTTCTGGGACGAGTCACCCACACATGCGCCTAGACGACCGGTTTTCAGACGAGCAGCTGGTGACCATGTCGGTGCGGGAGCTCAACCGGCAGCTGCGCGGGGTCAGCAAAGAAGAAGTGATCAGACTGAAACAGAAGAGGAGGACCCTAAAGAACAGAGGCTACGCGCAGTCCTGCCGCTTCAAGCGCGTCCAGCAGCGGCACGTCCTGGAGGGAGAGAAGACGCAACTCCTGCAGCAGGTCGAGCACCTAAAGCAGGAGATCTCCAGGCTGGTCCGGGAGAGAGACGCGTACAAAGAAAAGTATGAGAAGCTCATCAGCAACGGCTTCAGAGAAAATGGATCGAGCAGTGACAACAACCCTTCATCCCCGGAGTTTTTCATGTGAGTGTCGACGTTTTTGTGAAAAGAAAAAAGAAAGAGAAAAAAGAAAAGAAAAGAGTATCGCTTGAGTTTCTCATCTGAGCTTAAAAAAAGTTTCCATGCCAACATTTTTCATTTGACACAAAGCCCTCTAGACCAAGAACTAATTTGCCAACTTTTTTTTTTTTTTAACCTTTTATACATTTTTAAACGAGAGTTTGCTCGAGTCTGCGGCTGTTTTTAGATTTGGAGCCTCTGCTATATCTCAGTTCAGGGAGGCGCAGTAAGAAAACTTTTTTTTTTTCCTTCTGCTGTCATTGTCATCAGCTCATCATTATTCTCTTTGTCCAGATTTTTTTTCCCTTCAACATTGCTGTTCATTCGTAAAAAAAATTTTTTTTGTTCCTCTTTTCCCTCAGAGTTGAATAAACTTTACACCGAAGTATACGTGCATGAACGCCTGTACTCGGTATACTCATCTGAAGTTCATCAACTCGACCCCCCCTCACCCCCGGCCCCCCTCCCTCCCTTCCTTTTTCTTCATCATTTTACTTTGAACCCAAATGTACAGACTCCTGTCCAACCGCATCCACCGACAACTTTTATATTTTCTCCTTTTTTTATGAGTGTGTGTGTCTGCCAAAGTTGGAGGATCGCGAGCATTGACGCCACTTCATCTCATGCGTTTGCTTGTTTCTGTGTTGAGCAAAAGAAAAAAGAAAAGAAAAAAAAGAGAGACTTCTATCCATTACAAACTGTTGAATTATTATTATTTTTTTCTAAGAGATGTGTTATTAAACGGCCCTGCATGCTGGACATGTATGGTTTTTGTTTGTATTTTTTATTTTTGTTCTTCATTTCTGTGCTTGAAGATGTCTTTTTTGTCGGATGATTCCAGCATGACATTTATATTCTCCATTATGGCTTTTTCCACTCACTTTTTTGAGACTGCGTCCAAAAAGTGACCAGACTTCCACCGACCACCACTTATCCCCCCCCACCCTCACCCCCAACCCCCAATATTACTCTTAGAATTTTTTAGAACAGGGGCATTTCAGCTGTGTTGAAGTGCGCAACACCATCGCTGCGGACGCGCGTGCGTCGCTGATGGAAGTTAACGAGCGGAGAAAAGAGTTAAAATAAGAAAAAAAAAATCATCGTCAGTCCATTCGTTTGGAGTTTAGTGTTGTTTAGAGCTCATCTCGTTATATTCAGATCCTCCATTGTGCATTTGTCAACATTTAGAAGACTTTTTTCCAGGCGTAATTTAATGACAAATTTTATTTATTCAAGTTACACGTTGTTGTTTTTTGTTTTAAAAAATCCTGCACAGATTTTTTCTTTATATTTTTGCATTTTTCAAAAAAAAAAATTTGGCTGGACTCCAACATAGTTCACAAACAGCGCTTAATTCTGCAGCATGTGCTTCAGGGAGCAGGGGAGGGTTTTTACTGTGATGCTGCAGAAGGTCTGTCTCTGAAATTTGAAATAAATAAAAATAAAAATAAAAACTGCTTTGCGTTAGGGCACTGGAATAACTGAAGTAGAATAAGTGGCACCTGTAATCGTGTGGAAGCTGAGAAAAAGTTGTGAATCTGCACATGTCAGTGTGGAATCTGCTCCGACTTGATGGTAAATTATTGATACTTCATTAACAATTCAGAAGAGACTGTTGTTTTGTTTTGAGCGAGCTCATTATTCTCCAAGCAATAACTATAATTATAATCAATAATGTCTGGACATTGTTAGATGGTCAGGGGTGGACACCCTGCATGGGCATCATCCGCCAACAAATCTTTAAAAAAAAATGTTAATAATCTTTCATCTCATATATAGTATATATAAATATATCTATATATTTTGCTGTGCAAAATTATTTCACTCACTAACCATATGTGATGTTCATATATGTGCTCGATTTTATTTTATTTTATTTTTTTTTCATTTCATACAATTAAATGATATGCAATAAATGTATGCAATTGTCCTGAAGCAGTTTCTCACTTTTCTTTTTACTTGTCCTGGGATTTTTATTTTTCATGCCCAACACACACACACTCACACACACTCACCCACAGCTAACGACGACCTGAACCGAGGGTTTTGTTCCATGTTTGACGCAGCAAACCAAGGAAGGAGATCAGAAATGGCTCATTTCTGATTTCCTTCAGTTTTTACGCCCGGGTTTTTGCAGAAACAGAGGAAGGAGAAGGTAGAAATAAGACGATGACGCCACACAGCTCCACACCTTCACTGGCCCACAGCTGCTGTCAAAACACAGTTTTTAAAAAGATCCTCTGCTCTTCAGCCAGACAGACTGACCTGTGTCAGAGCGAGCGCAGGATTCACAGGTTTTACAGTGAGAAACCTCCTCACCCTGCTTTTGTTACTGAGGCCAAATAAGGTTATGTAAATGACAGAGTCAACTGTGATCTGTGTGTGTGTGTGTGTGTGTGTGTGTGTGTGTGAGCATGAATTCTATCTCTGATTTTGATTTTTATCTTTTACTCATTTTCTTCTCCATTTTCTTTCTACTTTGGTATTCTGGAGCGTGAACATGTGTGTGTGTGTAGGTGTGTGTGTGTGTGTGTGTGTGTGTCCATCCCAAAATGGAAGGATATGTTTGTGTGATCATTTGCCTGTTTTCATACTTTACCATCTTTTCACCAAATGTTTGTGGTGAATCCCAGTGTTTTCTCCTCTCACTCTCTCTCTTACTCTCTCTCTCTCTCTCTCTCTGTGTGTGTGTGAGTGTGTGTGTGTTCATATTTCGACCAAATGTTTGACTTTGTCGTTCTCACTGAACTCTTTTTTCATTCTCCTCGTACATGAGTGTTCTTTTGTTTCTCTGAGTCGCATGTTTGCACAGATGAAAAAAAAAACAAACTAAAATCTGTGTCCATTTCTACTCATTTCTCTCTCTCTCTCTCTCTCTCTCTGTGTGTGTGTGTGTGTGTGTGTTTCTCTTTCTCTGTACATATGTTGGGATCATCGTTGACGTCTTTTTTTTTTACCTCTTTTTGTATTTTCATCTTTTTCTAACTCATTTCCTGATCTCCAGGAGTTTTCCACTTCTCTCTTTCTTTGTCACACACACACACACACACACACACAGAGAGAGAGAGAGAGAGAGAGTATGAGTATGAGTGTTCATGCCTGTGTGAGTTTGCATTTGATGTACACACTTTTTAACCTGTCATTGATCGTTTCCACCGTCTCTGTCCTTTTTTGTTTTAAAGTTTTTCTGTCCCCTGTGTGGGCATGTACGTGTATGTGTGTGTTCTACAGAGTAGAAAAGCACTGGTACTGGAGTGTGAATTTGAATTTGTGCACGTTTTCATACGAACATCGCCGTCTTTCTTCCCCTCTCTCTCTCTCTCTCTCTCTCACCCGTGTCATCCTTTAGTTTTCCCTGATCTCACCCTGCTTCACCTTGATTGTCAGACATTTGGCCCCAGAATAGGCATACTTTTCAGGGGTGAGGTGGGTCAGGGAGCAGCAGCAGCAGCGAGGGCACAGTCATGTCAGGCATGTGAGTGGGCACAGCCTGGAGTCGCTGCCAATAACAGTCAGCTGCTGCTGCTGCTGCTGCTGCTGCTGCTGCTGCTGCTGCTGCTGCTGCAGCGAGGCCCAGCGCTGCTCTCTCTCTGTGACAGTTCAAACATCTACACTCAAGTCTTTGAACGCAAACTGTTCCCCGACAGACAAGGCCGCTCTCCTACAAACACAATAGGGGAAAAGTTGGAGAGAAAATTGTGGGACGAGAGGTAGCCTGGCGGGCATCTCAGTGTTTCACTGTTCCAGAACAATTTGTTTGTTGAAACAGGAAGAGCAGCAGGCCAAAACACACTGCAGACAGAAAGGTTTCTAAGGACACCTTCTGACTCTGTCTGCTTCATTCGAAAAACAAAAAAACACACACAAAACAATCAAACAATCAAACACTCTCCTTGTACCGTAGCTTGTCACTCTGATATTTTTTTCTCCACCTATGTATGTTTCATCCATATGCATTTTAAAGCCACTGTCGCCATCTGCCACGGCACATATGCTAAATAGTCTGTCAGTAAAAAGAAGAAGAAGAAGAAGAAGAAGAAGTGGAGAGGGTTTTAAGCCAACACTTGTTTCCCATCCCGTTTTGTGTGATCTCCTGTGAGGTGCACGCTGCTGCTGCTGGGGTGGATGATTTGCCCAGAGTGAGGGGAGAAACTGAGACAATAGGCGGGCTCCAGGCTGAATTAAATGATTTTGCTGATGATTAATAGTAGTGTGGCCCACTGGCTCCTGCGATGTAGAGATGATAAATCGTGAGCGCGGCTCCGTGCAGCTGTGCCAGTGTTGGGTCTTAGCATGCACACACCACGCAATTTACAGCCGAGGCGCTCTCTTTCTTCCTCAATTTATCTAATTACATCTATTTGATCGGAGCAATAGTGCTGCAATGTTTTGATATTTCATATTAACTGCAACAATGAATTAAAGCCTGGATTACTGTTTTCTCTCCCTCCCTCCCTCCCTCCCTCTCTCCCTCCCTGCCTCCCTTCCTCCTCTTTAAACAATATGTTTCTCTGCTTGCCATTTCAGAGAGAGGGAAATTATTTCCTCTTGACTCTAGGAGCCCCGCTTCTCTAAAAGCTGTGCATTTGTGCGCCGGGTGTTTTTGTTGTGTTTTCTGGTGGAATGTAAACGATGAGAGTGCGGTGGCCGTCGTAGACTCTTTAGCTTGTTTATTGTTGATGGTGCCCCTATTGTGAGAGCAGTTAAACCTCGAATACCCGTGCAGTAGAACAAAAAAGACACAAACCGCACACGCTAGAAATGAGAGCACTCCAGCAGGCACCCAGAGAACAAATACACACACACACACACACACACACAACACACACACAGACAAACCATAAATGTTCCAGTGTGTACTTGAACTGCTCAAATACTTGGGGGCTAAATGACATCTGAGTGAGGACAGATCTAATTTGCAAAAAAAAAAAGAAAAAAAAAGGAAAAAAAAAAGATATTCCTTCCTGCCTCTGCAGCATCAGTGCACACTGGTTATGGAGGTGATTAATCTATCGATCTTCCAGTGATGCACTCACAGGGAACGCTGGTTCTCTACAGGGCGACAGCGTGAGATGCAGCCTGACGCTCACTCAAGTGGCAGCATGGCAGCTGACAGACCCAGAAATAAAAGCTGCAGGAATTTGTCTGATGGAGCCAAAAGAGAAGGCGCGCTGCAGAGGATCTGTTGTGTTCCTGTTTCTGCTTCTGCATCTCTTAAATCATGCCAAGCATGTGCGAGAGGTCGATCTGTGGCCACGCAGATAAAAATGTGCTCTCGTACTGTACTGTATATGTGCACGTGTGAGTGTGTGAGTGTGTGAGAGAGTGTGTCCCTGAGTCTCTCTTGTCCTCTTTCGGAGAAGAGGATGAGCAAAGGTCAAAAGTTACAGCGCACAAGGCTGCTCTCAAAGTCATTAGAGTAATCCCTGCCCTGGGGAGCTCCTGCTCATTTCCTTTGCCCAGAATCCACCGAAAGAGGTGTGTGTTTGTGTGTGTGTGTGTGCACATCCGACATGGTACAGAAGGCAGTAAATTTAATAGGGCTCGCTGCCAACTTATTATTGTTTTTTTTTCTGTTTTTTTTTTTTTTTTTTTCAAACATTTACTGGATTTCTGTTACAGCGAGTGCGGACATTTTTTTGTCCCGGGGTCTGAGGAAACCAAATATATTTGGAAATGTAGCAAAACACCTTCCAAATATGGAAGGGTTTCTGTCCAGACAGCAGATGTGTTAGATGTTGGTGAGACAAGCTCAGCTCAACGACAGTAAGAGTTGAACAGTTTGAACAAAGTGTTAACGGAGTACGTTCGGCCATGTTCGTGGTAGTGTGAGTATTCGCGCAGGGCGGTATTTACTATTTTCATGCCCACATTATTGCAGCGTGACTGTGCTGAGCGTGTTGAAAAGGCAACAACAGAACAGAAGCCAGGGTGTGTTCATCTGGGTGTCAGTCACAGGTTCACGCTCTAAGTCAAAACAGCAAGTTTGGAGAATTACGAAACAGTTTAGAGAGAAAAAACACCTACAGAAGGCCAGAAATATACGAGATTTACTGCAATGTTTTTTTTATTTTTACAATTTAACCCAGTGGTTCCCAACCCTTTTTTGGCTCGTGACCCCATTTTGACGTCCAAAATTTCTGGCAATTTCTTTTATTTATTTCTAGAATTGGGTTTTAATCATGTTTGTTATACCGTGTTGCAAATACACAGATGTCAGATGAGTTACATTATAGTTTATACTTTTAGATCAACTTGTCTTTCCAAGGCCCAAAATAAATACTGAACAAACAATTCCTCAAACAACCAATTATTGAATTTTTAAACTTCATTTATATTCATGGAAGTGAAAGTAAAATCAATTACTAGACAGGTGACCCAATTTGAATTCCAGGTGACCCCATGTAGGGTTGTGACCCCTAGGTTGAAAAAGGCCAGGTTAACATGAAGTACAAGAAAAAGTGATCTGAAAACTAAATATATTGCCATATATGTGTGGTGGGTAAAGTGTTGACGACCGCTGTTCTGTACAGATTAATGACAAACACAGGTCGTTAGCATTTAGGCTACAGTAGCCTAAATGCTAACAACAACTGTGACATGTACTGTACACGTCAGGACGTTTCCGTGTGAGAAACTATCAGACAGTTATTTATTATTTCTGATTCTGTGGAAAGTTTTTTTTTATCTCAACATTTCCAAACAAATCCAACTACTGATGCGTAACGACACGTGGGATGAACGTGACTTGACCTTGACGTCCGTTTCATTGGTGTTAAACGTGACCTTGACGTCCGTTTCATTGGTGTTCGTCACTAGCCTGAGAATGAGCTGATGCATTAAAAACATCACTGACTGTACAACCCTTAAAACAAGAGCCTTTAGGTTTGGTTTGTTTGTTTGTTTGTATTTTTAAACAGCTCTGACGTATTTATGACCCAGCGTTGTGTAAATATATATTTAGAGGTGAGTTTTTCACACACCAGTCGCCTCGTCACGCTGTTTGTTTCCCTGTTTTTAAGCTACTGTAAAATTCCGGGGCTGATTTAATTACTTGTATGAGATTAATTTTTGCAGCTTCTTTTAATGGAAAAAAGCGGTCGCTGTGAAAACGTAATTACGAATATTTAGCTGTTTATCTTGTTTGTTTTTTCTACCTCTCTACACTGTGACACACGGTGTGTGTGTGTGTGTGTACGAGTCCAACGTTCCTTATTAGACTAGGTGAAATGTAACTGTAACTTCTGTGCAGCAGAGACAAAAGAGCATGAATTGTTTTTTTACATAACGTCTGTGATAATGTCGACATATATTTTTGTGGAGTTTCTCGATGTTTCTTTTATTCCTACTGTTATTTGAGATGTTTTTCCATCTCCTGCTGCTCTAAAAACACTGGTTTAACAATTTATTTGTAAGAAAAAAATATTTGCCTATTTCTTTATGATCAAATGTAGAAATTACCAGCTATGGCGTCAAACTCACAAAATAGATTAAATACCATTAATGTCAGGGGTGAAACAGTGTTCCACTCCAATCAACTTCAAGCTGATTCAGGTCAAAGTTTTTTTTTAAATTTTTTTTACCAAACTTCAAATCTGTCATCAGATCAGTGACACAGGTTGATTTGACGACATTTAGTGGTGAGTTAAAGTATTTCCTGTAAACCCTGGTTGGACTCTTACAGGTCCAACCAGGTGACAGTCACATCTGTGAACAGTCAGAGCGATCACAGTCAGACAAATGGGAGGCGGAACTCCGACACAGTCTCTCATTCAGAGAGCGCTGGACATCGGGGATCAATTAGGTTGCTTATTTTATCACAGCACGCGCCGCTCCTTTCTTCACATTCTTTTCTGTCTTTCTGGCAGAAAGTCGTGTATGTGCTTCACACAGACATTAAGTGAATTCACTCAGTGTCATTAGAGAGTTGTCCTTGAAAGACTGGCTGCAGGTTATGGTGGTAATGAGGTGGTCTGGACTGGCCGGGGTAATTGTATATGTCTGTAAATGGACCCAAACCAAGAGGCGATGACTTAAATAAAGTCATCCCTCAGCGGTGCCACTGCACACAAGGTGACGGCGGAGCCGGGATTATAGGCTTTCAACGTCGCATGTCATTTTTATTTTACTTCCAATAATAACAAACACCACATAAGTGTGTCTAAAAACGTGGTTCCACGGCCCAGAAAAATGCCTCACAAGCTGTGTGATTTTTTTTTTGTTCAGTAGTGGTGTACATATTTCTGGGTTATTTATTGAAATAACTTTAATGATCTCATTAGTCCTTTACACTTTCAACTATGTTCAAACTATTTTTGTCAGAATTTAACGTTTGTTCAATTGTTTTGGCTAAAAACAAACTTTTGTTGACCCTCCCCCACACGTACACAAATAAATGGAGCAAAAATACAGTATATTTTTACTGCCGTGTGAATCAATTCTAATTTTTCTGTTTCCCATCAGTTGTTTCACTGCTACAGTATCGGCTGATGTCCAGTAAACGTAGTATTTGGTGCAACTTCACTGAAGTCTAACGAATCAAAACAACAGCGTTTAGGTCTTTGCCCCCTAACCCTCACCCCCTACCTCACCCGCCTTCTCTGTAACAGTCTGGATCTCCTGCAACAGTGAGACGTCTGTAACAGTCTGTAACAGTCTGTAACAGTCTGTAACAGGTGCCTTCCACCATCAACATCCACTTCCTGACTCCGACCAGTGAAGCAGCAACGTTTCTTTTCTCACATTAAATCCGTCTTTTTACTCCAGTTAACACCTTCTTTAAATTTTCCCATGTGCCAGCCTGTTGAAAGCTCATAC